GTGGGCGGGGGGGGGGCGTAAAAAGCAGCGCACACAGGCATAGTGCCTGATATGGGCATTTCGAAGAGAGGATCATAGTAGAATTCAGTACAACTACGTCCTATATCTCTAGCAATAGTACCTAGAAGAAAGCTTCAGAAATTCAAAAAAGGTATCTATCGGATTGACATGTAGAATACCACCGTGCTGAATCTAGATATACATGACTAAAATCGTTAAGTTTCACGGTGTTTTTTATTATCCTCTCGCGTAGGAGAAATAGACTTCGATGATGACAGCACTATTTCTTTAGATGACTTCTACAAACGAAGTAGAACTCTCAGTTGAGCGTATTCGAGGTCCACCCACGATCGATTTTGATGATATCACTTGTTTAATATGTACCAATATTGTATGGAAACCAGTCGCTTGCCAAACGTGTGAGACTCCGTTCTGTTCAACTTGCATCATAAAATGGCTCAGCAGAAGTGAAGATGCATGTCCAATGAGATGCGACAAGTTCATCCAACGATCATGTCCTAGATTTATTCTTAACAAACTATCTAAATTGCAGATCACCTGCATCTATCAGATGAACGGTTGTAAGGAGGTTAGTTATTGTGTCGTTGATACTCTTTCGCCAATCTCCAATTCTAGGTTATCACATACGAGGCACTCGAGAAGCATGAAACACAGTGTGGTTATCAACCTCAACAATGTTCTGGTTGCCAGTCAGTGATCTCAAAAAACGATTTGCAGGAGCACGAGACTGTGTGTCTATTGATTGTATTTACCTGTGTAGATTGCAAGATTATCTATAAGCGAGGCGATGCTTCAGTATGTCACACCGATATCATATGTCTCAGAAAACAACTTCAAGAACTTCGGAATGAATCTCAAGGTGAGATAAGAAGACGTAATCAAGAACTGGAACAGTCACAGCAGAATAAGCAACAACTTGGTGAATTACGAGAACTATTGAGTAAGTCTGCAAGTGCATTTCAAAAGTGAGAATGGTAGCACTCATTTGCCAAGCTTGTCTCGAAATTATGGAGATTAGAAAGCCAAGGATCGAAGTACTCGCATGTCGAAATAGTGTCTGTAGTTTACTGCAGGTCTGAATCTATGGCTGTTGTTAGAAAAAATCTTTTAGACAACAGTTGAAAACAAAATTTCCTGACAACAAAATATTCTATATCTATGCCATCACAACGATTACAGTAAATCACCGCTTCACTATTTCTTAACGCTAGCCTTCGTGCCCATAGTCGTTGGATACATAGTTTGAGAAAGTACACATGTCAGTCTGATCAAAATTTTCGAAAATGCAGCCAAGTTTTCTGTGTCTACTATTTCGACTAAATTAAGTTAATATTATCTATCAATTACTTGTTTTAAGATGAACAAGTCACATCATTGATGACGTGTGGTATCTTGGCCAACAATGTTGACGTAGGTTTTTATAATCAAGTATTACATAGAACTTAAACTATTCTTTAAGTAGGTTGCTATTAAGCGAACTCAGATCAAATCGACAGTCGAAATTAAGACGCTTGATCCAACGCGTATCGTTTTTGATCGTCGGTCGCATGCGATTTTAACTGAGAGATTATTATGTTCAAAATGTCAGACCATTTTTTGGAATCCAGTTTCTTGCGCGACGTGTGGAAAAGTCTTGTGCAAAACGTGTTGTCCACGAGGAAATACACTTTCCAGAATGATGCGGAGCTTTTTTCATGCTAGAAGTAAATCATCTAATTCAAACGATTGCCGAAGATTTGAAGAAACTTCAGCTCCTTCAAGCATCATGGATGCTCTGACCGCACTACAAGTCCGCTGTGCATATGCGCCGAACGGATGCGAAGTGATTTCTTCATATGGCGACCTTGAGCAACATGAAATACAATGTGAGTTTGAAAACATCCCATGTCAATTGTGTCGATTGCCTACATCCAATCGAAAAAACGCTAAAAAGCACACTTTACAAGAATGCTTTCAGTACATGCAAAACAAGAATCCAAGTCAAATTCAGCAGCAGTTTATGACACTTCTAAACACTATTCATGATGCCCAAACTGATATTTCTAGGATTCAGTCAAATATAGATCGTGCTATAACTCGAATAGACGAATTGGATTCAACATGTGTCAAAAAGCCAACAACAGCTCACACTTAGTTACACGGATTCTCTGATGGGGATTTTTGCTTTCTTGTGCCTTTCAAATCTAATTATTATCAAGATAATTTCCATCTATTTAAGATGGTTATTTCGATATTACATTACCATTATCATGAGCATATTCTGATTTTTAAATAAATAAATAAATAATGTTTTATACAATGCATGGTTTCCGTTAAGCTTTGAAATACGTAATCTGCGTTCGATATCAATCGAACGAGATAAAATTCTTCGCCAATTTTTTCGTATTTGAATAATTATTTAACATCGACTAGAAGTTGTCATTTCTTCTGTTTCTCCACGTTCTTTATTTTTTTTCATAGGTATTCTTGGAAAAAAATGATTAAATTTTTCGAAAAACACTATCCATAACTCTGCGCATGATATAGTTAAAAATCATTACAGCAAGCCATATGATCGCAGGAGTACAGAGTCTCCAAATTTTTTTTGCAACTGCAAACGGCGTGCTTTCCTCCATCCTGAATTCATCTTTAGCTCTTTTGTACACGTCTGCGTAGTGGTTATCATGTTCGTGTGGACATCTATTTGGACCATTCTTGAATTTGCATTTTCCTCTGATGTGATAGATACAAACATTGTTAGGTAAACCAATTAAAGGGCATTCACTACCCTTCAGACAATTTTTGTTTTGAAATTCGCATGGATGGGTTAACTTGAGTTCTTTTTTATATGCGTTCTTTATATGCTTATCTAGCCGTTCGTTATAATCGCCGCGAAAAAAAATGTTCATCGTAAACCAAGTGAAAACTCAATACAGAGTTTAATCTGATAAATCTAAAAAAATTAGCCTAGTAATATCTTTATATATATATCCTTAGAATTCAAGTCGGGCAAGCTTACTCCAGACAAACATAATTCATCATCTTATACTACATGTGTTCGTATAGCAATCGCATTTATTCGTATGCTGAACAGAAAAATGCGATCGTTCATGGTAAAACACAAAAATATATGCAGCTGTTTCTAATTATTTTATACCTCATTTTTATGAGTTATCGCCAGTAGTAATAAAAGGTAATATCCATTGTAACATTTCATACTGATAAGGTGTGGGTACTGAATCATGCTGAATTTTGTGTAAGATTAGATAAAAACTAGAAAAGAAAAAAACCTCTCTCTTGAAGTGCAATATTCACAGACAGTTTCATATAGAGAATTCGATTGAACATCGGAAACTTCTATATTTTCATATTAACTGTTTTTCTAGATTATTTCTTGATTATTGGTTAGCTGAGAATCTGTCAGATTTGAACTGAATACTAAAGACTCCCGGCGCATTGAATTTAACTAAGACAGAAATCTCACTGCTAGATCTCGTATTCAAACAATTACAGTGCAGAGAGAAACATGACCATGGGAAACTTCAAATGTCTAAGATTAAGACAAGTGTTTCAATTCAGGTAACAATATATCCAAATATATTATTCATGGATACATTTTACTAAATTTTTGATAAGAAAATTTCAGTATTTTTAAACTGAAGTGTTAATGAAAATTTCTCAACCGCAAAACTCTCTGGAACATAGAGACTATTTTTATTTCGATAATTAACAATGTCAAGTATCGAAATTTGTTCTGGTTTGTGTTTTATAGCAGTCAAAATATATTCATTCATAAAATAACCTGTTCTTATTTTATTCTGAGCGTTTAGTACATAATACTCTGGTGTAATATATTTATTAAGTTGATTTTTTTTCTATATTACCTCTAACTAAATGTTTACCTAAATCTTTCTTGTGATGCATAATTGAATGAAAACCCTCCCTATATACTTCTTTTTCTATTCGTTGCTTGATAAAAAAAATGAAGAAAATTTCACATTTTATTACTTTTTTTTCCTTCATTTAAACAGCGAAACACATTTCAGTCGCATATTTTCTTCTGAATTACTGCTCTGTGATTTAATAATACTTACTATCTATGACAGAGATTAGGATTTTTTCCCTTCTACTTTCATTTCTCTTACGCACATTCTTTCATCCAATTTGGTGACAGAAATTGCATGAATTGTCTTTTTTTCTGCCAAACTCAATGTTGACTTTAATATGCATTGTTTTTTCAATGATTTCATGCGTTAAGACTGCCAACTTAGAGTAAAAATGAAGTATGATGAAGACAAACGAGGAGAGAGCAACTTTATTTTTGCGACTGTTTAGGCTTATATCAGGCTCATATAAAGGTTTATAGTGAGATTAGTAGAATTACTAACAGTCTGATTTCAAGCCATGCAGAATTTTAATTCTGTTTATTGCACACACATTGTGTTATATCCGATAGCTGAATTCGAGTCATACAACCAACTTGAAAATGGCAAGAACTGATTCATGAATCTTAAGTTTGAAATGTAACGAAATTCCCCAGTACCTGTTGGTTTTCTGCCACATGTCTTTGCTTTGGAAGTTTCTGCATATTGTCGATGTGTCGGTTGACTTCTTTGTTTTGTCGAATATTTCACCATTCTTGCATCCATCCATGATTCGATCATGAAGTTGAAGAGTAAACAAACAGTGGCCCATTTACACGCTAGTATTGTTCAACATGCCAGGTGCCTGTGTGAAATCTATTCTAAGAGAAATGACTCAACGAAAACACATAGTTAAAATGGGAGAGCGAAAATTGGTCGAACGAAAATTGATGGAGAAACGTATAATAATATAATTAGTTTATTTCTATCAAAAATGGGAACTGATACTCTTAAGTAGAATTATGAATAAATTCTAACTTTATTGTGATACATTATAGAATTACTCACACTTAAAACGAACAATTGACAAACAAAAGAGTAAGACATGAAAAAAAAAAGAATTCATAAATTATGAGCAAGCCCTTCTAATTGTTGTGGAATAGGCCGTAGTGGATGCATAATTAAATGACCTAACCATGCACCATAATTTAAATGCTTTTTATTTGGTTTGACTTTTTCACCACAATTCAGCTTGATCAATTGACAGTGAATATAATGTTCTTCGTTTTTTAAATTATTAATGTAGGATCAAAATGTAGGATGTTGACAATGCATAATAGAGCTTAAGCGGCGATGCCAAACCTCAGCTGAATTATTAGTCCTCATTAAACGATCAGGTGTCATTTAATGCGTGTTCTGGAAGTCGATTTCAATCATTGGTTTTGCTCTTCCTTGTGTACGATTTCTACCAAGATATGTATCTTCAAAATAGTCTAATAATGGATGTAACATTTGTGGTAATGAATTGTACAGGTCATCAAAATCTTGACTTACATCATTCGGTTGAAGAAATGCAAGAGCAGCAATTTGATGAACATGATGAGCAAATACTGGATCTTGTTCATAATTCGTTTTGAAGCCTAAGTCCTGAAGAAAACGAAAACTAGTTTCAACTTTTATATATCAACAAATTGCAATTACTGACTTGTACTTTACATTGAATCCTATTTTGTAGATGAAAAACAACCGGACATTATTGATGAATTTGTTGTTGTTACCTAAACAGTTTAATTCATTAAATAAAACTAAACAGCATCAAGAAAAATGTACAGACCTTGACGGTTCCATCGACTAATAATTGTTTGCAATTTTCAAGAACTTGAAGTTGTTCAGCCAATGCACATATAATAATAAGATTATTGCCTGGGCCAGAGTCAAATTGTAGAAACGCACTGTTTCATTTTATTGTTGTTACTTTGCATGGAATTAGATTAAACGTTTTATCCTGTGGAATTTCGGGTAAATCGTTTTTTCCTCGTCGCTTTTGAATATTTCGTTTAACATGTTTAAAATCAGAAAGACGAGCTACAACATTATCAGATAAATTCGTGAGACAATAGTCAATAACATTTTGTGTAGCTTCGTTTGAATTAAGTACTCGATGACGAATTTTTTCGTCAAATATTCGAATTTCAGTTGAAACAAGATTCCAGGATGATTATGGTTATCATTTTCATGTAATATATTGTATGAGTACAGTTAGTGTGAATTCATCCTTTGCATTTAAATTTTCGAACATGTTCACATTTCCAATAAGTTTTATCATTAGCTGCTTTACTGATAGTATACGCAAAACCTTTACAAATTAATAAAGGTTTGTGCTTTTCTGTTGTACTGAATGTAAACGTTGACATTGGTGAAAAATAGTAGTGTTCCGTTTACTTATATCAGCTTTTTATATAATGTATTATGAGTTTTTTAATCTAATCATTATTGGATCAAGTGAACTCTAGCTTATTGTGATAGATGTTATCAAAAAAGTTGATAAACTTATTTGAAGTAATCTATGCATATAACAATTCCTATATTTCTGACAAATATGTGCTCTTTTTGATGAGTAATTTCTCTATGACGACCTGAAAATTCTTTTTCTTCTATCGTTTAACTTATTAGTATTAATTGCAAGTTTTACTTAGAAGATTATTTTATTTTAATTAAGCCCGATTATTTTTTCCCTACGAATTTTGCTATCGACCAATTAACAGCGATCAATTTCCGCTCGATCAATTTTCGTAGACCCCACGGAAGCACATTGAAGTTTTGAAAAAATTGTTTCTTTGAGTAATCTAATTCATTTAGATATTAAGAAGGTAGATGGAATAGAAAGTTCGTGGGTATTATTAGTAATTCTAAGAAAAGCATCACATCTAAAATGTAAAATAACTCGCCCGGACAACTTTTTATCGGTTTGAAGATTGATTGTGACGAGTCGGCATCGTTATGCAAAAGAATTAGCTAGGCGTAAAGATGAAACGCGAAAGCTAAACGTTGCCTTTGATATTCATCCGGGACCACGAGTAAATATTAGTGGTGGCTTCTTCGAACGGTTAATCTATACGAATATCTATTTGGATCGGTAATAAAATGCCTTGATTCTGTACAATGATACTGTTGAAATTATCAAGAAATATTTTACGTGAAAGCCGAATCATCAATAGCATGGGTAAGACATTAAAAATTGAAAAGTATTTATACGTTACAAAAAACAAAACTACTGGTTACATTCAGTTTTATAATCAGTGTTTATTATTTTGATTGATATGATTGAAGTGCTTGTTCTAATACCATTGCCATAGCGATGGCTTTTTCTTCTTCTAATCGTCTACACATAATTTGCAGCCCAACAATAGTATTTTCGAAAGCTTCTGGTCCTTTGTATGCATTTTTAGCTGCTTGATCAGATTCGCTTGCTATTTGACTATTACGATATCCATCGTTGATTTGATCTAATACAGTATCAACTCGAATGACAGGAAGTACAATAGAACTTAATTGAAGTAAATTAGCAATACCGGTATACCCAATACTAATCATAAATCTGGTTGGATAAGCTGGCATTGCATTGACTGGTGAAATAATTCCATCTACGGGGCGACCTGTTGTAGTTATTTCACGCGTCTTATTCCATTTTTCAAGATATTTAATTGCATAAGCATTGCGAGCTAAATTAACCTGCCAATTTTCATAAACACTTAGTTCTGTTTCTTTCGAGCCAATATATATGCCTGGTTGTTTCGGTTCACCACTAATCTCAAGAGCAGTCTCTACATCTTTGCCACCATCTGCTAGATACATTTTCGATAAAATTTCTATACACTAAAAATTAAATCATCTACATTTTAATGGAAATGACTTTTACTCGACCTGCAAATTGTCAGATGTGTCCCATTCGACCACTTCATGGCCAGCTATTCGAACAGCAGAAATCGCCGTATCAATCGCTCGTTGAACGGGTGGAGAAATATGAACATGCTGATCGAATCGAATCACTCCGAAACACAATTTATTTTTTTGTCCCTCTTGGAACATTTCTTCTCTCCACGGAATATTGTGAACCTTGGGATCGATTAACCAAGTTTTCGATTCTGTAATAGCTTTAAGAATTGTACGAATATTCCCAAGAGACCTGCTGATGGGTCCTACAACGCTTGGTACCGATTCTTGTCCCTCAAGTGAATTTCTAGCCAAACCGTACGGAATTCGCCCATCAGACGGTCGTAAACCATATACACCATTTACAGCAGCCGGAGTTCGAACGCTGCCTCCAATATCTGTTCCAAAGCCGCAGATACTTCCTTTTAAAGAAGAAAGAGCTCCTTCGCCTCCTGAACTTCCACCACAGCTTAATTCTCGATTTCGAGGATTTCGTGTCTCGCCAAGTAAATTACTGCGAGTTTCAGCTAGCATTATTGACTGAGGTAAAGCTGTCTTGACATATAAAACAGCACCAAGCGAAAGGATGCAATCGACGAGGATTGAATTGTGATCCAAAATGATGCCCAAATACCCGATATAACCCATAGCAGTTTCAACTCCTTTGATATTGAATTGATCTTTGAAACTTATGGGAATACCATGTAGGGGTCCTATTGTTTTTCCTCCTGTAGACTTGAAATATTCATCCAGCGACCTAGCTCGATCAAGAGCCTGTGTAAAAAGTATTTCAGCTAAACAATTAACCAATTGATGAGCAATTGCTGCACGTTTACAATATGCCTCAGTGACTTGTACTGCGGAATATATTCCATTAGCAATACGACAAGAGAGTTCATCTATATCATCGATTTCTGTAATTTCCAAATCGAGTTCAGATAATATTCCACATGTTACAGGTACCATAGTACAATCTTTTGGTAATGATTGGAGAATCAAGTCTGATAGGCGCCATGCTTGAGGTATAAGTTGATAAAGCGACGAACGTTTTTTATTGGCTTTTTCTTGCCAAGTTTCTGTCGATGACATTATTATAAATTAGCAATAATATGATTGTGTGAATGCTAACTTTACTTTCTTGGTATCTGTTAGGATTTTTATATCTGAATATTTATTTAAATAAGAATAAAACCACATCATCAAAAAAAGGGCAAAAATATAACGAAGAAAAGATATTTGTGATAATCGCCTAATACTCTTAAAACAAGAGAAAATAAAAATCAATATACATAAATTAATTATTTTGGTGTATCTATCTTCTGTATCAATTGATAAAACCAATGAAAAATAAAATGTGTAGTTATTTTTGAAATGAAAGATGTCGTTCCAAAACAATAATGTGTACGTTCTTGAAGGAAAGTACTTCGATAAAGTGAAAGAAATATTTAAATCACATTTATTCACCCAGGATACAGTTTTTATCTAATATTAAATAATTTTGGTCTTGGTAATAGCATGGTGTTGTTTTTCTCGTTCTCGTTCAATAGTATGTTGTGAGGATGTTTTGCTTAGTTCCTACACTATCCGAGTCTTTGATTAGCTACTTTGCCATATGATGTAGATTAAAAAGGTACACGACGAGAAAAATGATTTTTGTAGCAACGTCAAATTAATTGAGATTTATTGGGACGCCAATAATGAAACTCATACAGTAGGAACTGATCTCTGTTTCTGAAAAATTATACAACAATAATATCGTAAGGGAAATATTGGTGAAGATTAGATCGCGAACACCTGTTCGTTTATATAAAGGTGATTGTCTTAATCATGGAGATAAATACCAGCAAATCATCATGACAATAGTTAGTGTATGTTGATATGAATATTTTTTCCATCTAATTAATCAATCAATTCTGAAGTATCGGGTCACAGTTTTTTTCTATGACCTACAACCAAGTAGTATGTGAATGTAAAAGTGACAGATAATTTCAGGTCATCTTTTTACTAACCTGAGAGCAACCGAAATTAGCATAGCTTTATGTTTTAATTTGGAATTCAAATTGCTGTGTGCTGAATGTGAGAGTGTGGGCTGTACGGCGACTGAATAAAAAAAACAGATCGACTTACATACGCCACTCACAGACCATATCAGGTTTCTGTATATTTTGAATGGCTTGTTTTTACCAGATATTCCCAATGGGGTTTTCTGCTTCCCTAGCATCATCAAATGTAGATTCTTTAATTCAATATAATGATAACGAAGACGATAACGGAAAAAAACATACTTATTTGTTATAGTTGTCATCTGTAAGAGATAGTAGAATAGTAGGAATGAAAGAGGTAAGAAAATCAATCCATATGACAACACATTTTAATTTATTGTCAAGTACCGATTGTTCCATCCATTTTTATTGACTATTTACATTTACGCATGTCTGAAATGGCTATATGTTTTATTTTTTTGAAACAAACTGTGATGAACAAAAAAAAAAAATACACAACAGTTTAACTAGTTTGGTCTTTAAATAGCTAAATGCAAAACTCATTACCATCTCTAATGAGAAAATAAGGATCGAAATCCCCGAAATGCCGTTTTGAAACCTATTCTCATTATTTTCTACGAAAACATATGTGATTTCAATCCATATCTATTTTATCCTCGCTAAAAGCATTATCTAAATTTAAAAACTATTCCGTGTGTGAATGTCTATAGTAATGAGTACTGTGCTGCAATGAGTTGATCAGTGTCAGTCATGCAATGTGAAGTAGTGTTTAGAATGAATCTCAAAATCGAAAATGTGTATCGATTTTGTTTAGTAAAATAATCTATTTTCAGCTACCATATTCATCAATTCACAAGCCTCAGGTATGGGTCTGCCAGCTACTTTCTTTATTGAAAAATAATCTCCTTAACACAAAGAAGAAATGTTCATACAAATATTAACCGAACAAATTTTGTACCATCTCATCTTGAAGACCGTTAATTACTAGGCGGTATAACGTGCTGAGCTGTGGATCTTTCGTTCTAATTGAAGTTTGTAACGACAACTGAAATAGTTATTTTTATTTTGGCAGAAAGGAGAAAGAAATTTTTATTGGCATGTCTTCTGTTACCTTATTTTGTTAAAGAGTTATCAGTTTCCACCAAATGTTTTAGTAGTTAGATTTTGAGAAAATAATTAAGAGACTGCTTAAACTTTCAACCTAGAAGGATATTCATTCTTAAATATTGCTGATGAATATTTCATGAATAATAATCTGGCCAGAACATTCCTAATTTTATTTACGAGTTTTAATCATTGTCTACATACGAACGAGAACAAATGTTGAAAGATGTGATCTTCCATTCTTATTGAAACTATATTCGAAAGATAATTGTTGAATTCTATTAGATCTCTTATGAATTTTGAAAATATTGACATTGGCTGAATTTAAAAAAGGAATTTTCGTTTACAGGAGAGGATAACAATTATTTTTCGAAAACAAGGATTTCCTGGCGTAATTATTAGGTCTGATCTGAGAAGTATGGATGATGAATCTAGTAAAACAAATTTTTAATATCATCTATAATAGAAACAAATATAATCACAATACGCAACGAGAAAAAGAAAACGACAGATCAATAGCCGATCATCATAGTTGCAACACAATGTAATAGTTTCAGTTTGAAATAAACGCTTTAATTGAAAAATCTCCTACTTCAAAAGGCGCCACATTACGAATAAGGCTAACGGTATGTAAATGTGGTGAAACGATGGATTTAGGCATGATGTCCTAAATGATGGTTCTAATGAAAATATACGTAAAATTTTGCAATCTATCCTTGATCAAGGATAAAAGCAATTCGAAATTGACTAGACTTGAGTTATCAAACTCATCAGCATTATTAAGAGTAAATCATGTTCTTATATCACTATTCTAAGATCTATGCATATTAAAGTGCCTTCCTACTCGAGAAAATATTTGAGCATCGGAAAAAAGAGTAAATATATTTTATATGATAAAAAAAAATCACAAGTGGCTACACAAGAAGATAAAATTGGAGTTTTCAAATCAACTAGTCTGTAAAAGAATGGATAAACTATTGGTGCTACCATTCGTCACAGCAAAATCCAACTTTCTGTCATTGTTGAAGTCACCAACTAGAACAGAAAATGGACGAGATCCATAACCTAACGACGCCAGAGTGACACTTACGAAAGGACCATTACCATATCCAAGGAATATTCCCAAAGTATTAGTGTCTACATCAAGTAGATTGTCGTTATTAAAATCACCAGAAGCAATAGATATTGGTGTAGAGCCAATTGAATATGTCATTGGACTGGTAAACGAGAGATTGCCGTGTCCAAGAAAAATTGAGATATTCTAAGAACCTGAATTAGCAACGACAACATCCATACGAGAATCACTGTTAAAATCACCAATCACAAACGATCGAGATTGTGAATCATTGGCAGCCGTGAGTGTCAATTGATTTACAAAACCTATATTGATGTACCCCAACAGAACATCCACACCGTTATTCTCCGAATCGCCGATAACGATATGCAGTCGGGTGTCGTAGTTGAAACGACCAACAGCTACAGACTGTAGAGAAGAGTCAGTTGAAAATTTTCTTTGATTTGCAAAGCCTCCGAATGAATCCAGAAGGATGTCGAACGCACCTGTTTCATTGCTAATCACAATTGTATCTAGACGGTGATCTTTGTTGATATCACATATTGCAAACGAGATTGAAGAACGAACTCCTGTCAAAAAAATTGTTGATTTATCAAAAATACCATTCCCATCACCAAGAAACAAGGCCATACTGTTATTGCCGCTATTCGTGATAATTAGGTCTAATCGATTGTCCTGATTGTAATCTCCAACACCAATCGAGTATGGAGAAGTAGAACCTGTGGCGTAATTGACTCGATTCGTAAAAGTACCATTGACATTGTTTAAAATTACGCCTATTTCGTTACTACCATAATTAATTGCAGCAATATCGAGATTGGGATCGCTATTAAAAGAACCAACGGTAACTGAGTGAGGGCGAGAACCATGACCGGTCGATATAGTTATTTGGTTCGCATAAGTATAATTCTTATTTCAAAAAAGGATAACGATATTATCTGTACCATAGTTCGCAACAGCGAGATCTAAATAGTGGTCGCTATTGAAATCTCCACTGACTACGGAGGATGGAAAAGAATCGTATCCTGTCGAGTATGTAGCGGGAGTTGAGCAGGTTCCATTACGAAAGCCATAGAGTATACTGATACTGTTGGTTTCATAATTGACGGTGACAAAATCAAGTTGTGTGTCGTTATTGGAATAGGAATTAGTGCATATCTCTAACGACGAAGGATATTTTCATACAAAGAACCACTTCCCCAGGGCATCTTTCATGAAGGATATTTATGCTGCAGGACATTTTTTCTAGGACGAAATTTCAGGGACACTTTCCGAGGACCAAATTCCGGAGACATTTCGTAGAGGACATTTTATCAAGAACATTCTAGCCTGTATTCTCTTATTTTGCATAAAAGCATGCTCATTTTTCATAGTCTTCACCAATCGCTGTTATTAGATTCACTCAATTCAAATTCTTGTTGTTCCCCATCGAGTAACTGTGGTTTTTATCTGAACTGTTTACCACTTGATATCTCAATGCGAAAGGTGTAGAAACGCAGCGTGCTTGTCTCTGTTAATTTGTTCGGCCATCAAGGAAGTAAGCAGTTCTTCGATTAAATCTCGATGATTAAAGCCTGTGTGATTTATATAATTTACCAGTTTTCTGTCATTGTTACGTTAGTTTAAATGCTGAATAGACAACTACATATCTTGTGTTAATGTCATGTGGTGAATCGAATTTGACGGTAAAAGTTTCCTAAAAAACCACTTCTATTTTTCGAAGATAATTGCTCATTTTCGTAACCAGTATATTATCAGCTGCTTTTATAAGCATCGCTACGTACATTCAAAGTGTTCTAAATGTCGGTGCAAATCACATTCAATTCGATCACAAATAATCCAGGAGTCAGTTGAAGAAGCTGTCAAATATATTAATTTTCTATTTTTCTACTATGGTCTCTATTTGGTTGCAAGAGTGTTGTTTATGTGATATTGTCATCGTAAAGTTTCAAATTTGTACAATTGCAACGATAAAATAACGAAGAAATAATAAAGCATCTCAATTTGTTTGAACTAAATATTCTTGAAGTTATGCTACCTCACATATATGTGCAGTTACAGCTCTGCAATTTCACGCTGCGATTTTGTGAGTAATTAACATCAGTCTTATTGTTAATGCTCCAACTACTGGGATCACCAACAATAAACCAATATTCATGTTAGAAAAATGACAAATCCTTCATCGTTGCATAAATCTGTATCACATCAGTGTGACTGTAATATATACGATACCGTTGTCACCGAAACAATATCTGCATTAGATTTGATTGTTATGTTAAATGTTTCAACACATAATGGAATACTCAAAGTTTCTGCGACGCATTAAGATTGTTGTATAAAATTATCTCTAGAGAAGTACGATTGACTAATTACAAGGAGATGTAGATCACTTGTTTTCTTCTTAACCGATTGATTCTTCGTATTATTGAAAAGAGTGTTTATTTATTGTACTAACACGACGCTAATTTAGTGCAGCTTCATAACTTTGTTAATTTTGACGTTTTTCAGAACAAGTAAACAACCAACTCGATTTCTATACAAGAAATAGCCTCCAAATTAGTAATATTTTCAAACATGAATTTATTTCAATGATTACTTCACATGAAAAATATTTTTATCCATCGCTAGATATTGTCAAGATAAAATTTATTGAATGTAGCGTTTTAATCAGAATTTGATCATTCTCAAATCAAACTATAGCTTGCACTGCAGGCTCGATATAAGCTATCGTTTGCTTTTTGGGGGAGTTTAAACTAGTAGAAAAGAAGCTAATAAACGTTTTCTGCAGCATTTCATATGCTTTGGATTCAATTTTTTAACTATTTCTATCAAGTTCTTGAGTATTGATACATAATATTTTATTTACTCATCGATCTAAACAATTTAAAAGAACTCTATACTTGAACTAGATGGTATTCAAGTTTCACTCGAATACGAAATGCCATGCGAAGCTCGAATCGGATCTTCACGAAAAATCTACGATTCAGAGAAATCTTGAATACTCTTTATGTCGACATGATGAAATGCATCACTGAGGAAACTATTATTACTTAGCGATACATTCTGAAGGATCGATTTCGATTGATCGATTAATCATCTCCATGATTCATTATCTCAGATCAGCTGTAAATGAATAGACTATAGTGGCTAACATATGTTCATGACGTCACTTTAATTATCTCTTCATAAACTTCTTTCATTTTCGTCATTTTGGAAGCACATTTATGAGCGAACGAAACTGCAGATTGAAGATTCGAAAACAGATGTTCTTAGTTCGATCTTGATACTTCGATCTAATGTTTCAACGAGTTTTCGACGATTTATGGTGCTCGAGATCATCGCGACACAAAAAGGCGACTTTTGATGCATACGTCAAGTAAGTAAAAATAAAA